ATAGAAACCTAAATTTTTTCCTCTCACTACTTCTTTTTCACTCACCACCCACTCTCCAAAGAGTGCCTTCTTTTTTTTTAACCATCTTCAACTACAGAATCAATGATGCCTTTGAAAATCTTTCCTGTATCTAGCAGGACTCCATTCAGTATTTTCATACTCATACTAAACTTTCTCTTTCTAATGGTAATTTAGATTAGTCTAAGGTTTCCCATCTTCCGTTTTCTGGCTTATGTGAGAACAAGCTCACTGATTTGGTGTTTCTTTTACTCAAATATGAAGTTTAGATATTCTCTGACTTCTAGTTTTGCTGAGGGCCTTAGGGTTTTGTATAATTTTATATGTCCTTGTTCGACAACATTTTTGGAGGATATGTCAGGAAATTTGGATTTGGATAATCATCACCATCCTCAGCTTTCTTTGGTTGGAAATGATCTATCTGCAATTTAGATTTTAGCGGAGGTGGATCATTCAGGAATAATACCTTAAATTTTCATTCATTCAGATACTAATAACATTGTTTTTGCAATAGTTTAGAAGTTTTGCTGAAATTTATTTAACAATTTTAGAATACTCATTTAAAATAATATCTTTCTGAATGTTCTAAATATATTTTGAAGATATTCATGGCTTATAAAATGGTTATAACAAAAAATTAATAAGTAAAATAAAATGGTTATAACATGGGGCTGACAGGTGGCATGGTGGTTAAGGGCTCTGGACATTCCCGCATGGCCAACCATGGTTCAAGTCCTGGACCTGGTGGCTTGCTTTCTTGCTTTCTCTCTCTCTGACCCTCTCTGGCCAAATTAAAATAAATCAATAAAGTTAAATAAAATAATTCTTTGGAGAGAATGGTTGTAGCAAAAATAATCCCCTTTTTGTCTTAGTTAAAGAATTATTTTATTTGGTTATGAAATTTATTTTCTTTTTTTAAAAGAATTTTTAGTTATTTAACTTTATTTATTTATTTATTTGTTTATTTTAATTTGACCAGAGAGGGACAGTGTGAAAGAGAGAAGAGAGAAAGTGAGAAAGCAAGCCTCCAGGTCTGGGACTCATACAACGGTCCGTAATGTGGGGGTCCAGCACCCTTAACCACCACTCCACCTATCAGCCCATGAAATTTATTTTCAGTGCTCTTAGAGACCCCAAACAACACGTTAAAAATCCAAATTAGGGAACCAGCAGATAGCATAATGGCTATGTCGCTGGACTCCCATGTAGTCGACCGCAGTTCGAGTACCAGACCCAGTGGCTTAAACTCACACCAGGTGTGTGTGGGTGCATGCCCAAGATCCCAAGAGGAGAATGGAAGGGAAGGGATTGAGGTGTGGCCATCCCCCCTGGGGGGTGATTTCTCACTTTCTATCCCTGTCTCTCTCTGTCTTTCTGGCAAGCGTACACGCCCTATAGCAAAAACCTCTCAAAAAAAAATAAAAAACAAAAACTCACACCAGGCACATGTGCATATGTGCCCAAGATCCCAAGAGGAAAATGGAAGAGAAGGGAAAATCTTTCTAAAAAATAAAAAAATCTAAATTTGGGCCAACCAGTGGTTTGGTAGGTAAACCAACTGGATCTCACATGGTAATGCGCTATTCAATCCCAGACAAGGTGGCTTGATAAACAGGCTGAGTGTGAATGTGTACATGCCCTAAATCCCCAAAAACCCAAAAAGAGGGAAAAATGGAGGGGAAGGTATTGCTGTAGACCATTCTCCATTGGGGCTGTTTTCTCTCTCTCTCTCTCTCTCTCTCTCTCTCTCTCTTTCTCTCTCTCTGGTGCCCTTTGGCAAAAAAAAAAATCCAAATTACACAAAACTATACATTTATGATATGAATGGTGTTTGTATTGTGACTTTTCCAGGCAAATAATGGGAAACTTTAAAAGAAAAACATGTTTCTGCGATCTTGATTTCATTTTTAATGCCAAAGACCTCCTGCATATACTTTTATTTGTGTGACACATAATTTTGGTATATATATTCTGAGATGGCATAAAAAATGTTTTCCTCACATTTCCAGTAGACTCTGGAAACCATGTTAAAGTTTTAAGCATCTGTAAAATTGTTTAGTCAAAAAGGAGTGACACTCGCTACTGCTTCTCCTGCTCAGGCTGCTTTGACTCTTCCACGAAGACCTTTCCTTCACTGCTCCACGGTGATACCCATCGTGGCCCTGACCCTGAAGTTCGTGATGCACCTTTTCAAGCTCAAAGACTCATGGTGCTTTCTTCCCTGGATGATATTTATATCCTGGACCTCACACCATATCCGAGATGGAATTCGTCATGGCCTGTGGTTGTGCCCATTTGGAAAAACTTCTCCTTTGCCATTCTGGCTTTATGTAATGATCACATCATCTTTACCTCACGTCTGTTCATTTGTTATGTATTTAACAGGGACCAGACAAGTGATGTCTTCAAAACATGGAATTCATATTGATGTCTGAAGTGACCATGTGGCAGTCAGAGAAGCAAATGGGTCAGATGATGATAATCAAGAATAGCCAACATTAAAGTGGAATTTTAAAAAACACACTTAGGGGGACCAGCAGGTGGCATGGTAGTTAAGATGCTAGACACTCCCACGTGGCCAACCACGGTTTGAGTCCCAGACCTGGTGGCTTGCTTTCTCACTCCCTCTCTTTCTCTCTTTCTCTCTTTTTCTCTCACACTCTCTCTCTCTCTTTCTCCCTCTCTGTGTCTCTCTGGTCAAATTAAAATAAATGAATGAATAAATAAAATTTTTAAAAAACCACACACACTTAGGAACTTACATTATTTAATTATTACAGTTTGTGAATCCTCTTGCTCAGGAGGCATGTGCAATTTCTTAAAAAAAAAATTATAATTGTTGTAATTCTACTTTTCCATGATGTATGCAATATTAGAGTTGCATTTACTACAAGCTTTTATTGCTTCTTCAGTTTATCAGGCTTTACTGGTCGTTCTGTCAAATTAACATCTAATCAGTTTTCCAGGAATACATTTTAAGTTATTCTATTTCCTGATTAAAAAAACAGCTCAAACTTTAGGGTGCCTAATTTGTGTAAATTTAGAACTAGATTAGACCAAATGGCCAAAAGAAATGAAATCATGAATAAAACATACAGTGAATTCTAACATGTATTTATTTCATCTATGTTGATCCTGACTGAAATTTAACTGGCAGAGTGCTTTATGAGTTATGATTACTGGCAAAATCTGCTTCAGAGCACTTGTAAGACGTCATTACAACACGAATAAAAGGTAGTAACTAATTATATCTAGGTTATTATTTTAGAAATCAATTTAGGAAATAATTTTAGACTATCTTGGCTATAGTAACATTTTAATGAAATAGGATTTTTTAAGTATCTTTGCTCAAGAATCTCATATGTTAGTGTTTTAACTGTTTTGAAAAACATAACTAAATTTAACAAAATACTTGTTAACAGAGAGCATGAATAAAATATTGATATTTGGACCATAGTCATAGACTTTTAATTTACATAAAAAAGTAATGACTAGTAACGTCATTTTAAATGTAAACTTCTAAATGTGCTATTAAACTTGGTTTAGTTTCTATCAGTTTGTTTATATACATATTCTAAAATATGGAGGCCAAGGAGTGACTAGTGGTTAAGGCACTAGACTTCCATATAGTGGACCATGGTCCAAGTCCTGAACCCGACTGCTCAAAGCTCATGCCAGGCCTATGCGTGTACATGTCCAAAATCACAAGAGGAGAATGGAGAAGGAACTGCAGTGTGACCATCCCCCCTTGGGGAATGATTTCTCACTTTCTGTCTCCCTGGAGAGCACACATGCTCTATAGCAAAAAATCGCTAAAAATAAAATAAACTATTGTACGGTTAAAACAATAAGATGACGGTAATTTTTAAAACGTCTATCTGAGGGACCAGCAGTTAGCGTAATGGCTATGTCGCTGGACTCCCATGTAGTCAACCACAGTTCGTGTCCCAGACCCGGTGGCTTAAACTCACACTGGGCGCGTGTGCGTGCATGCCCAAGATCCCGAGAGGAGAATGGAGGAGAAGGGATTGCGGCGTGGCCATCCTCCCTGGGGGGTGATTTCTTGCTTTCTGTCTCTCTGTCGCTGTCTGTCTGGTGAGTGCACGCATCCTATAGCAAAAACCTCTCCAAAAACAAACAAACAAAAAAAAGAAGTCTACCTGATACTGAGAGGCAAAACATACTTTTCTCAAAATAAACTAATTTTAGGAAATTTGCTTTTTCTCTTGTGCTCTAAGATTGATCTTCTGTTAAAATGACTGGCCTTTGTTAAGGAAATTTTAGTCGCTGTAAGTTTTACATTTGCACGGTTTCATGTTACTTCGATATTAAAGTCAGTGCCCCAAAGGTATCTGCTTTTCTTTGTGGTATATGTACCATCTGCTCTGTTCTGATTTTCTTATAGATTTATAATTTATAATGCTAGTGATTGTGTGCCTTATTCTTTGAGAAATGATGGATGATTCATAAAGCAATGCCTTATCCAAAGCAGATTTTCCTTAAATGTTAAGTTAAGCAGAGCCCTATAAATTGTTATGAAGATTCAAGTGCTTTAGAGAAATACTTTATTTTTCTTGTTAACAAATTGGATGCAATCCTATTATATTTTGCAGTCTGTTAGATCTTACATTCTATTGTGTATTGTCTTTTAAGGGTAATTTTGTGCAAATTTGGTTGGTACGTTAGTAAGTGTTCCATAGTGGGGATAAACTTGATTATAGATTTTTTAAAAAGCATCTGATTTCAAAAGTCCAAGAAAATAAAGTCTATAATATTGTGTAAATTTTCCTGACTAAATTACAAAACTCTTTTTTTATTTCTCCATATTAAACAAAAAATATTATTAAAATATAGGACCTTATTTAAGAATTCCATATTGGCATTTTTGAGATTGTCTTAACTTCTTCCATTTATTAGAATGAGAATTCACTTTGGCCATAACTTTTTGCTTAAATATTAACTGCAAAATTGATGTGTGGGTTTATTCTCAGTTTCTGCCTCTATCATCAAAAATGTTCCTTATTTCTGAAAATTCATTGTAACTTCTAGAAAACCATCAGTCAGCCTCCTATGCCTTTGTTCTCATTCCTAGTGAAAGAGTTTGTACAATACCGAGTTACATTTGAAGTTGGATTACATTTGTGTGTGTGTGTGTGTGTGTGTGTGTGTGTGTGTGTGTGTGAGAGAGAGAGAGAGAGAGTGAGTGTTTTCTTCGCCATCCTCTAGATGGCGTCTGCTCACTTAGTATTCCTCTCTTTGCCAGGTCTCGACCTCCCTGTCTGCCTCTTCCTTGAGCTGTTATACATGCTGTTTTGGGGAATCCTTCCACCTACAAATTATGCACCCACCCCCAAGCCTTGCTCTCTTTAGGTGGGGTAAGAACCCCTGTTGTGACTGGATAACAACTTCCATTTGGCTTCGCTTGTTTAACTTGTCTCTTCTTTGACTCTTGGGCAGCAACCCTCCCACCCTGACCCTTACACAGATATCCCAGGGCTCCTTTTTCTTGTCTGTCCCATTCTCCCAACTGAAGCAGAGCTGGAAGAAGTGCTGTTCTGTCCTTTTCACCACTGTTACAGCTAAACAACATCGAAATTCTACCTTCTCACTGAATATGTCATTATGTTACTGCTCCAAATCCTCACCCTCACCAGCTAAGACTCACCCTCACCTTTTTTCTTTTCTTTTTTTTTTTTTTTCTTCTTGGAGAGGTTTTGCTATAAAGTGCATGCACTCGCCAGAAAGTCAGAGAGAGACAGAGAGACAGAAATCACCCTGGGCGGGTGATTTCCACGCCGCAGTCCCTTCTCCTCTCGGGGTCTTTGGCAAGCACGCACATGCACCCAGCGTGAGTTTAAGCCACCAGGTCTGGGACTTGAACCATGGTCGACTACATGGGAGTCCAGTGACATAGCCATTATGCCAACTGCTGTTCCCCACCCTCACCTTCTTAGATGATACATGCACCTGAATCCTATTTTCTTTTTATTCTAATCCTTGCATCTATCCTCAGTCATAGAAGACCTGCTGGAAACTTGGACTTCCATATTCCCCTTTTTTCCTTTTTTTTAAAAAATATTTATTTAATTTTATTTATTATTATTTTTTAATTTGCTAGCAGGCATGTGGACTCACCAGAGAGGGAAAGTGAGAAAGAAAGCCACTAAGTCCAGGACTCAAACCACGATCTGCCATGTGGGAGTCCAGCACCTTAACTACCATGCCACCTGCTGGCCCTCCCCTCTTCTTACATCTGACTCTCTGCCACATGACATCAGCCACCAGCAGTACAGTGGGCTTCTGTACCTCCTCCTATAAAGACAGTGCTCATCTCTGAGATCTCAAATACTGTTTCCTGTCTCCAGACCAGTGGTTCACCAGAATTACTTGCAAGCTTGTTAAAACAGATTGGTTGGGACCCATCCCTCGAGTTCTGATTTGGTAAGTCTTTAGAATTTACGGTTCCCACAAGTTCCCAGTGGATGTTAATGCTGCTGTTCAGAACGACACTGCCAGTCCCCTAGTTTGGCAAATTTTTAGAAGATTGATAATATTCAGTGTTGGCGGGATGTGTAAGGTAATGGGTATTATTGGAGGAATAATTGCACTTTCTTGCCAGAGGGAATTTGGTAATATGTTTTAAATGTATAAGCCATTTTACCCCAAAATTCCAATTTTAAGGATTTATTCTAAGGTACTAAATAGTTGAATATACAAAGGGAAGATATTGCTGTTGATTGCTTAATATGGTGAAAACAGCCAATTCTATATCTTAGCAGTAAAGGGATCTGGATCCCTCATTGCTGACAGCAGTTCGGATCCCAGCCTGGTAGCTTGAAGAATATGCTGGGTTCACGTTTTCTGTGTGTGTCTGTGTGTGTGTGTGTGTGCCCAAAATCCTAATGAAATGGAGGAGGAAGGATTATGGCGCAACCATGCCCCACTGGAGAGGGGTACTTTCTCTCTTGTCCTTCTTTCTTACATGTACATGCTTAAAAATATGTACTTTCCAAAAATACTGCAGTTAGAATCCTAGACCCAGTGGCCTGAAAATCATGCCAGGCACATGTGCATGCATGCCCCAAATCCCAAAGCAGAATGGAGGAGAAGAGATTGTGTCATGGCCATCCCACTGATGATGGATAAATAAATTCTAATAATAATGAATCTCTACAGTTACTTCATACTTTGCAAAAAGCCAGGGCATTGTCACTTGCATCCCTTTGGCATTTCTTTACTTCTCTGTGAATGACATAGGGCTCATGAAGCATTTTACCCTTTTGACTGATTTTGCAAGGAGTTAATTGTCTTATATCCCCAGAAGCACTAATTAATATTGCCTCAGGGTCTGGGCAGCATTCCAGCCCCATCAGCCCCATAATTGCCTGAACAGGAAGGGAATGTGAGATCAGAACTCCAGCACATGATCCTGCTTAGACCTCTGAGTGAGCTTTCAGAGAAAGCACCCATCTGAAGTCAATGCACCCTTACTCATTCAGTATTCATTTGACTTAATTTGAGCACCTCCCAGATTCCCAGTTTAGAGGTATTGATACCTTGCACATGAAGTG